TTTGTACTTTATTTTTTCGGATGGGATCTTGCATTTATTCCCCAGGTAAGCCTGGAATATGATTCTCCTAGTTAACATTTCCTACATAGCTTGGATAATCAGTGTGTACCTCCATGTCCAACTTTTTTATTGGCTGAGATGAGGTCCGTCTAACTTTTTCCCCTAGCTTTGAACCACAGTCCTTCTCATCTTACCCTCCCATGGAGCTAAGATTTAGAGTTACAAATGAGAAACACTCCATTGTGCCTGCCTTATTATTGTTGTTGCTGTTACTATTATACAAATTAAGAGATGTTATTGCCTTACTAATTTAATATTAAGTCATTCATTCCTATCTATCCCCTTATGTAGAGATGTAAGTAGCATAGAACAAGTGTTTCTTATGGTGGGTAGTTTCAGTTTGGATCATATTTATTATTTTTTCTCATAGCCTACGTACATCTGAAACCAGCTATCTTAATGAGGCTTTCTCCTTCTACTCTGCAATCAGACAGAGATCATATTACTCCCAAGTCAATAAAGAAGACAGGTATGTGTCTCCATGCTTTCAAAAAGAAGAGGTATTACAGTCCAAGTCTATAGTATGTGTGGAAATTGTGCAAAAAAGCATGTTATTTATAGTTTGCATTTGTTTGATAGGCTTTATTGTGGGGTAATTCTGTAGCAGCAATCTGAAGCATACAGCAGTATAAGTTGGGGCTTGGAGTGAGGTCTAGTGATAAAGTGCTTGCCACGCATGCATGAAGCCCTGGGTTCAATTCCTCAATACCACATAAACAGAAAAAGCTGGACGTGGTGCTATGGCTCTAGTGATAGAGTGCTAGCCTTGAGCTGAAGAGCTCAGGGACAGTGCCCAGTTCCAGAGTTCAAGCCATGACTGACGGAGGAGGGGGGGGGGAAGAAGGAAGAAAAAGAAGGAAAAAGAAGAGAAGAAGGAAAAAGAAGAAGGAAGAAAGAAGGAAGAAAAGAAGAAGAAGAAAAAGAAGAAGGAGGAGGAAAGTTGTTGTTACCTAAAAGCCATACTTGGGTAGAGGGTAGAGTTGCAGTACAACAAAAGATTAGGATTATTTCTTTTTCAAGAGATCAAGATGGCCAGGCACTAGTAATCCTAGTTACTCAGGAGTCTGAGATAGCAGTTTGAAGCCAGCCCAGGCAGAAAAGTCCCCATGAGAGTCTTCTCTCCAATAATAACTCAAAAAACTATAAGAGGTGAATGGCTCGACTGCTAACAGTTCTAGCCTTGAGCACAAGCAGACTCAGGGATAGCAACCAGTCCCTGAGTTCAAGCCCTACAACTAACAACATTTTTTTTTTAAAAGAAAGAGACCAAGATGGTCATGCAGTCTGTTTCACAGAAAAGAAACAACTCTAAAGTGGACTTAGAGAATTATCTTTATTTTTTTTTAGCCCATGTAACTTTATCTATTTTTGAAAAGCCTGCTGACAGCTTTGACAACTGTCATATGGGACCAGAACAAAGTTGGTTCTGTTTGAATTTTGTTTTATAAACTCAGTCCTGTTTATATAGTTGTATAACCTCAGAAAGAATCATGAGGAACTTACTGATTCCCAGCAGAAATCTATTGAACACTGCATCTCTGACAGAGGCTTGGGTGAGAAGAGAGAAGGGATGCTCGTTCCCCCTCAGAAGATTGTCCTCTATTGGGGTGCCAGACATACTTAGCTGAGGGTGGATAGCAGTGTTCAGAGAAGGATGCAACTGAGGCAGAACTCAGGGATCTGCAAGACTGTTTCTTGCTAGGGTTCTAAGAACTGTTAGAGGAGAGCGTTGAGGTATAGGAGCATGTTCTTTCTACTCCTAACAACTCACAGTTGTTATATAGTAAAAAGTTTATGGGTTTTTTTGTTTGTTTGTTTTAAGCAATGAAAGAAAACAAACTTTTTTGGTTTGGGGTATTTCTTTGTGCTGGTCCTGGGGCTTGAATCAGGGCCAGAGTGTTGTCCCTGAGCTTTTTTAAAAAGCTCAAGGTAGTGCCCTCCCACTTCTGTTTTTTTGGTAGTTAATTATAGATAGGAGTCTCATGAACTTTTCTTCCTGGGCTGGCTTTGAATTGTGATCTTCAGATCTTAGCTTCCTGAGTAGCTAGGATTACAAGCCTAAACCATCAGTGCCTGGCTAAAACAAATCTTTGGCCTGTTTTTCTAGAGAATACTTGATTGTTGACTGTATTGTTTTGCAGCTTTTTTTTTTTGTCCGTCCTGGGGCCTGAACTCTGGGCCTGGGTGCTGTCTCTCAGCTCTTTAGCTCAAGACTAGAGTTCTACCTCTTGAGCCACAGTGCCACTTCTGGCTTTTTCTGCTTATGTGGTGCTGAGGAATCGAACCCAGGGCCTCATGCATGCAAGGCAAGCACTCTACCACTGAACCACCTTCCCAGCCCCAACTTTTTTTTTTTAAAGCTCCTTCTAAGGAATCCCCTGATGTTGCTTGCACGTCATGTGCATCCTTATCTAGAGGAATTGGTAGACACAGTTCTGTGTGTAATGCTCCCGTCACATTTCCCCTCCTGTTTCTTTGTCATTCCCTTACTTTGTCCCGTATCAGAGTTCCAACATTTACTTTTCCTTCATGCTAAGCATCAGTGCCCATAATTCTGGCTACACAGGAAGCTGAGATTTTAGGATTGTTATTCAAAGCCAGCCTGGAAAGGAAACTCTGTGAAACTCTTAGCTTTAATTAACTACCAAAAAGCCAGAAGTAGAGGTGTGGCTTAGGTGGTAGAGCATCAGCCTTGAGCAGGAAAATGAAAGGAGAGCATCCAAGTCCTGAGATCAAGCCCCAGTACCCCCATACGCACATACAAAATGTGGCAAATATGAAAGCAGCATATATTAAGTTTTATTCTAATGAGCAATTTTCCATTTCTTTACTATAGACCTGAGTTGGTAGTTAAGAAGCTGCGATACTATGCAAGATTTATAGTAGTTTGTCTTCTTCTCAACAAAATGGATGTTGTGAAGGATCTGGTAAAGGTAAGTGTGCTTCATTTTAAAGACAGACCCAGGCTGACCTTTAACTTACCATCCTCTTACTTCAGTCTCCTGAGTATTGGGATAACAATGTACTTTTTTTTTTTTG